AGCAATAAAATTTGAGCGCAACTGTGTTGAGTAGCTATATCACTCAGCATACTGATTATTCATGATCGATACCATTCAATAAAGGAGAACAAAAAGAATAAAGTATTACGGGACCCATCATCCCACTCATGGAATATTATAATTTTCATTAATTGATGAAAAATATCGATAAATTCATTTAGGAAGGTTCTTAAATAAAATCGGCATTTGTGTTTGATACAATCCTTAGTTCAAAAATGTCATCAGACAATTTGTTTTGTCCTAATTAGTGTTTATGGCCCAACATTAAAAGTCTATCAACGGGAGCAGAGGAGGGAAAAGGAGTATTATGTTCCAGAAACACCACTATCATTGCTGGGAAACATTCCAGACTTTCTAAGTTATTCGCACTTTTATCTGAAAAAACTCTTCGTGCTTCTAATTGAGAAGAAGCTGAAGACGAAACGGTTTCATCAGCTCTAGCTGAAAATGTCGGTGAAAGTCTTGAGTAATTTCTTTAAAATGGGAGATCGAACTATATTTTTTGTAATAAATAGGTATTATTTTTTTTTATAATTAGATTTTAATTAAACTAAACCAGATTTCAACAAAATAAAAACCACATAACAAAATCTGTTTTAAGGCCGAACATAATTCAATATCTACTTAAACAAATTGAAGGGCTGTTAGAGGAAAATTAATTTAAAAAAAAAATTATAAACAATTTAACATATCGTCGGCACCATGCTAAAGTAACGAATGTGAAATTGCCCAATATAAACTGTCGATAATGATTATTTGTTATTATGACATGTAAATATAATAATATTATGGTGATTCGACTTATAATAATGTAGTGTTTCTACTGCCTCCCGCAGTGCTACATCCTACGCTCTGAAGAAGACCTGCAAAGTGGGTCGAAACGTCGGAAAAATTAAATAATACTTTTTGTTTAATTTAGTATTTATTTGACCGCACCACCCGATCAACTTCTTCTCATAATAATATTATCAATTCGTAAAAATAACATTACTGATTTAGATTTTCCGGTCGCCGTTCAGATTCGACATTTTGCCACAAGGAGGGACCTGGAGTACTATGTTAAAAGCACGAAATTGAAAAATATGATTTTTAGTTAGGTTACTTAAACATGGTGCCGACGATATCTTTCATTTGGAAATCACACCCTCCATGACCACAAAGTTTTAGGCTTAAGTCGTTTGAAGTGACTTAAAAAAATATATGTTTTTCCTATGATTCGTTTTATATTAGTCTTGACTAACGAATACAAAATAATTCATTAGTCGTGAATATTTTTTTGCGAATTAAAATTTAGTTGTCATTCGCCCCTTTATGTATTTTAGTCTCTTTATTCAATTTAGTCGGATAATTTTGGCCCAACTCTGATACTTAAGCCCATACCAAGAAAAAAATATTATTAAATTATCCATAAAACATAATTGTTCTTCAACTACTGTTTGTTATTTCTTCCTCATTAACTACCGTTATAAAAAAGGCCCTCCCCTTTCTTGAAACTTAAATCCTGAATCCGCTTCCGATTTGGGGTGCTTGAGATTTACTTTGTATATTGACTAATTAATCCTGTTGAAAACGCGCCTCCCTGATCCATTTTTGCGTTTAAAGAATTTCAGAAAATGAACATTGTTCTTCCCATACGATTGGTCACATATTAAGGTGACGCTCCTGCACTATCACCATCATATATACTCTATAAAACAGGGAGTAATTCTCCTCCTAAAGTAGGTTGGCACCACTAATGGCGTCTCTCTTTTGTTGGGAGGTTTTAGTCTATTTCTGGTGAGCTCGACAAAAGAAACTTTCGTAGTGACATAAATTCACTTTATTAGTCAGGCATTAATATAGAGTTAACGTTTCGGGAAAGTCGTTAACATCATGGAAACTGCATATTATTTTCTATATTTCAGTTCTACTCCCTTTGTCAATAACATGGTTTTTCTTATTTTTGATTTTAACGAAGCCCGAAAAAACAAATGTCTTAACAAATGTCCAACAATTTTTGTCATCTCTCTATTATATAAAAAAGTTTTTAGTGTACGCCATATTTTATTTTATTACTAGCTTTATCCGTCCAAACGCTGCTGTGACAAAATGAAAAAGAAAGAAAATATAAAACACATATGAGTGGCTTAATATCAAAAGACATCTGTCACTTTTAAAAGTTGAGAAAGCAAATTAGTTTGGAACATGTGCTATATTGCTTACCACAGCGTTCGTTTTGCGTGCATTAGAGCTCCCTTCCACCTTCTTCAATATATTTCACCTACCCCTCTTAAGATATTTGATTGCCCGCTTTTTCTTAACAACAACTTGATTAAATATAGAGGTATAAAAGCTGTAGTAGAAAAATAAACCTTAATTGTATAAGAAACCTTACGGCAAACGGCACAGCCTTATTCAAATGTAAAGTTAAAGAATGTGATTTATTAAAAAATAAATTAAACTAAAATCGATGAAAAACTGATTTCTAAAAAGAATCAAGAACATAAGCGGTGATAATTATTATTCAAGGAGTCAATATTTTTAAATAATAGCATATCAAACATTTGAGATGTATCACATACTACTTCTCGACTACATTGAGGGAAAATATAAATTAGAATTTCAAGAGGGTTTAATAGTATTGATCTACCATACCACTTCTTCAAATAATAATTTCAATTACTTCAGTAATTACGAAATTTTCGATTAATCAATAACCAAAAAACAGAGGGATGGGATTGGCTTTTTCCGAAGAAACAGTAGTAAATGTTTAAAACTTTATATCTCTGCAACAAATAGTCCGATTTCGATGATTTAAGAAACTTTCAAATAAATATGAGTATTATCAATAAAATGTGTACTTTTTTAGTTATTTGAAAATAAAATTTTTAATTCATCGTAACATTTTTTGTAGCTTGATTTCCATAAAGTATATTATACACATAAAATAAAAGGGTTTCAAGGGGAAAACTTTAGCTAAGTTTCGTTTAAATCGTTCCAGCCATTTTGGAGCGACAATCTATAGCGATATATTTTTTACACATATATAACTATGGTAGGACGGATGTACCATTCCGGAAACCTTCGCGAGAGTGTACGCAACAATTTCCAAAAGTTTCATAGCTATCGGATGAATGGTTTAGTAATGCATAAAGGACAAACTTACATACATTCATTTATATATATGGATTGGGAGAGTATAAGATTACAGGAACTCTTCTGTTAGTTTTATAGTTAGCACTAATTACACAGCTGTTCATTTAATTACATATGTGTTGAGCTTCTGCAACCTCCTGGTGCAACATAGAATAGAAAAATAACTTTATTCAGGGACACAGTCCCTTGAGAATAACAAAATAGAATAAAATTACATATTAAATCTGGCCAAAATATCAAAACATATGTATTGTGCTCCTACTTTTTTAACAAAAAATAAAGATTTTAAACTAAAAATTTGTACGGGAAACGGTAAGAACGGTAAAGAAGGTGGACAAGATTAATATATATATATATATATATATATATATATATATATATATATATATATATATATATATATATTATGTTTACAATTTATCAATAAGAATAAGTATAATTACGTAATAATATAAATTGCAAATAAGGCGAGATGTATACTATAGATTTTTATATAGATTTTTAAAGAAATTAAACATTTGTTCGAAGTGTGGTTTCGTTCGGTTTATTTTCTGTTGATGAAAAATAATACAATCTGAACTAAAGAATTAAAGTTAAACAATTTGACCAACGAGTAATACAATTAAATGTATAATTTGTGAAATTATAGTTGATCAGAGGGTACACCCACTGTTTATAAAAAATAAATGATATAATCCCATGGCAACCATAACACAATGTCGACATCAATCTTATTATCAACTTATAAGCATGTAGACAAAATGCTATTAATAAAAGCTAAAATGTCAGAGTCACAAATTTATTTACTAATCCTAATTTATTTATTTACATTACATTACATTACGTTACTTAATACATTACAAAAATAGTTTTTAGCTGAATTGGAAACGGGACATGATCAAAGAATTAATAAACTAAAATATGTATCTCGATGTATAACTACATTGGTGTCATTGCAAATATTTTATTTAGAAAAAAAAATGCTCCGTTTTCCAGTGTTGTCCAGTATATTTTGAGTCTTTTTTTTATTTTATTATTTTATCTTATTTTATTTTTTTTTTGGAATTGTGAGTTATTTTTCCTCAGCATGAATGTTGTTTAATCTACTTAAGAGATTCAAAATAAATTTCTATTTTTAGACGTTTTCTCTAAAATATATTGGGGATATATGTAAGGAACGGGGCTCCAATGATTAAGGTCCCACGTTGGACACAAATCTATATAGTAAATATATATTTTTTTAAAACATAATTTAATAAATATACATTTTTTTAAACATAATTTAATAAATATATATTTTTTAATAAATAAGAGTATTTACTAATAAGGTTGTGTGAAAATATTTCCATTCACTTCCGTAAATTTAAGCGTATTAATTTTAGTAAATGTAAATATTGCCGTATTCACTTTTACAATCGTGAATACGGCCGCATTTATATTTGCGGAAATAAATACGTATCATCTGTATTCATATTTCATTTTATGAATATAAATTGGTTGAATATAAATATATTCATATTTATATTCATTAGTACCATAAATATAAATGGTATTCGTATTCATATTTTTGAATATACACATGCCCATCTCTGGGTTCGAGTACGGTGGTGATAGCCGTGGATCGGCTTTGGGATCAAGATACCTTTGGAAACCAGGTGGTTGAGGGAGGCAGTACTCCCTCAGAAAGTCAATACATTTACTTAGTTTCTGTAATCCAAGTTCATTCGTGTTGTAAAGATTGTATTCTTACAGATTTTTTCCCCTTTAAAATATAAATTATGGTTTTTGTAAAGAATGAAATAGTATAGCATTTGTGTAATTAAAGAACAGTTATGTCGAGTCGGCACAAATACACTTAATTTTGAAAGAATATAGTGAAATAAAACAGAAGAAATTTTGTGGGGGTAAATATTGTATTGTATTTACTTACAGGAGATATAAATTAATTGGAAGAGGTATAGGAAATACTAAAGATCTCATAATTTAATTAATGGTGGAGAAGTGTAGTTCCAAGTCCGTATCCACCATATCCATAGCCGAGACCGTAGGAAGACCTGTATCCAAGACCGTATCCATAGCTACCAAGACCGTAGGCAGACCTGAGACCGAGACCATAGCTGACTGGAGCATGTGCAATAGTAGCAACGGCTGGGGCGTGGGCTACAGCGGCTACTGGAGCAGCATAGGACACTGCTGGAGCATGTGCTACGGTGGCAACAGCTGGGGCAGCATAAGAGACTGCTGGAGCGGCGTAGGAGATAGCTGGGGCAGCTACTGCGACAGGTTTGTTGACGGTTCTGTAGGAGCTAGAATAGGAGGTAGCGACTGGAGCATGGGCAACAGCAACTGGAGCGTGAGCTACGGCAGTAACAGCAGGAGCAGCATAGGATACAGCTGGAGCGGCATAGGATACAGCTGGAGCGGCATAGGAGACTGCTGGAGCATGGGCTACGGCGGCAACAGCTGGGGCTGCATATGAAATTGCTGGAGCATGGGCTATGGTAGCGACTGATGGAGCGGCGTATCCGTAGCCAGCACCATAGCCGTATGCAGAACCATAACTTGCACCGTAGGTCAGAGCTGGAGCGGCAGCGTATCCTCCGATGTAGCCAGCTCTAGCGCAGGCGATGAGGGCGAAGAGAACGGTCTAGAATTTTAATAATCATGTTAAATATTATATGGACGATGTTAATTCTTAATAATACTCAATATTTAATTTGTTTCAATTACAAAATTGCTGTTGAATTTGAAACTTACGAGTTTGTACATGTTGATGTGTATATCCTGGTCCTGCTGCTGGGAAGAGAATACTCCCACCCCATGCTCCTTCCAATATATACCTAATCCAAAATGAAAAATGAGTTCAGGGTCGGGAAGATCCGATTGTTGTTTCACAAATTTTGAAATCAATCCGGTTATTCGCACAGTCACAAAGTGTTGAAAGTGAAAAAAAGGCTAATTATGCTTTAATTATTTACTATTCTCTATTTTAAATTATTATTTTTTATAATCCATTGATTAAGTTAAAAGCTATAATTATTGAATATTAATTAATTAATTAATTGAGTGATACATAAATACGTGTTTAAATTTCCTCAAAACGTGTCTATACAGGGTGTCGAGTAGAAAGAAATTTGATAAGAGTAAATTTTTATAGGAGAAATTACGATCTACAAATAAGTTAATATAAAAAATGGGCCTACTTTCAGCAGAAAAGTAGATATTCCAAGATTTGATTTCTTTCTAAATAACTCATATTTTTCGTTGAATATTAAGCGATAACTAAAGAATTATTTAATGTAAGTAATAAGCAATTGCTTCACTGTAAACTAGACAAAATTTCAAAAATATTGTCATTGTTAAAACTATTTAAAGAGGACTTTTTAGCGGCTAAACAAAGTTAAAGTTCTTTTAAAAAAAAAAATTATAAATTATTTGTGATTTTTTTTTATTAGCATCGAACTGTACTATGCCTATACATATTGTTAATACTATATAATTGTGTATTAGTTTTGGAAAATTGTCTGTAGCGATGTAGTATGCTGTGTTTAAAGCAACCCAGTGTTATTGGGCAGCACCCTTTTGTGATAATAAAGTGATTCTCTCTCTACGCCGACGTTTCGACCCACCTTGCAGGTCTTCGTCAGGGCTACAAAAGATTCAAAATATAAAAGGTACATGTACCCCATAGTACAGATACCCCATTTTTAGGGAAACTTCCTCGTTTAATGCGATCTAAGCCCATATTAATTGAGTTGAGATTTATTGTCGCAAAAACTTAAGATTCACCTCCAGTTGTGTAAAAAATGACGTCATTTTATATCCTGTCAACTGAAAGGAACCGTGTTTACAGCAAAAATGACTGTTACAAAGCTTTAATTTCTATTTTCGATGAACTGGAATGAATAAAATAAATATAAATGCATAAATACTTTTTTTATTTACAAAAAAATGTTATAAATAATGAATTTTCTATAATTCACAATATAAAGTGATAATAAAAATGTATTATTTACTAAGATCTCTATTACAGTAATTGATTGGTATCTGTAAGTGACGAAATAAATGTTTCTAGTCCTAAAATTTACGTATAAATTAAACAGGGAATCTGCAGATTGTTACAATTATTTTGAGGGAAACATAATAATAGGATAAGGAACATTAAGTTTGCCACGTATAAATACGGATCAGTTTCTATGACAAAGATCTAGGAGAAAAACAGTTTCATAATTACATGAAAGATTACATAAAAAAATGAAGTTTTTTACTTTTCATGAAAAATCATTCTTTCTTATATATATATATGAGGGTATTTAGGCAATTATTTTTATTATGTAATGTAACCTCCACTAGCTTGTTATCCACTGTTATCTTATTATTATGTTATCTTATTCTTATTTTAGCTTTACTATATTATTACTTATTGCATTTTCAATTTCTTTATTCTTCAACATTCATTTTCTCTATCTGTTAACCTACAGCTATCATATGTAATCTTTATTAGTTTGTTATACACTAATTTCTCCTCTTTTATCACAATCTGTTTACTTTTAACTTACATGCTATATTCTCCTTTGTTTTATATTTTTATTCATACTTATTTTTATTTTTGTTTGTATCTTCTATATATATAATACTTGATATTTTAACTACATTATCACCCACTATATCTCTGATGAAATCTTATTATTTCTTTATTAGACAACTATTTCTTATTTAATATTTACTTAAAATTCCTTTATTTTATTTTTACCATGTACCTTTTATATTTTGAATCTTTTGTAGCCCTGATGAAGACCTGCAAGGTGGGTCGAAACGTCGGCGTAGAGAGAGAATCACTTTATTATCACAAAAGGGTGCTGCCCAATAACACTGGGTTGCTTTAAACACAGCATACTACATCGCTACAGACAATTTTCCAAAACTAATATACAATTATATTGTATTAACAATATGTATAAGCATAGTATGCAATGTTTTTTTTATTATAATTTTTTTTTTTTACTATTTCTTTAATTCATTTATTAGCATTATACATACCCTTTCTCTTCCTTTTCTCCCCTTATACATTTTTCTCATTCCCTAGATTCTCTCCTCTCTCTTCCTAACCTAATCCATAAAATGCATACAAATACATAAAAGGTCAATAAATAATGTAAAAATGTTGTAAAACACGCATGCCTCCCACATGAACAAACTCTGTCTCTATCCATGAACATGGAGATGGATAATTTCCAGGGAGTCGAGGATTATATTCTCCGCCATCTTTGCCACGTCTTTTATGTCGACACCAAGGCCCTCCATAAAGCTCCTTGTTGAGTTCTGTATCGTTCCGCGAGCTCCGAACCAAAGGCCTCTCACGTGGAACTCTCTTGGCCCGAAACTTTCTGGGAACTTTTCACTAAGGAAAGGAATGCATTTCTCATAGGTCTTTTCCTCCTATATTTCTCTCCATTAGGAAATGGAGGAAAAACTACTATCTTTAAAATTTAGTATTTATTTGACCGCCACCCCCATCAATTCCTTCTCAACCATCTCCACATAATTATTTTTATAATAATACATTCCAGTTCATGGGAAATCAATGAATAAAAGCTTTGCAACACTTAATTGTAGTCAGTTTTGCTGAAAACACGCGTACGTTGAGCTGACTGGAGATAAAATCACACCAAACGTCAATTCAATTAATATAGATTTAAAGCTCTTGAAACGAGGAAGTTTTCCTAAAAGTAGGGTGTCTGTAGTATAGTTAGATGATGATAAAAATATCTTAAATAATTTATGATATTTTGTAAAAAAAGAATTTTTACTTTGTTTTTTGTATTTGTAATTTAGGGGTGCCTAGAAGGGTGTTTCATGAAGCAAATCGAGCCACCAAAGTTTTTGAAAGGTGGACACTCTGTCAGGATTTTGAACTTATGAGTGGGAGAAGGCACATTTTGATGAAGTAATGAATTATCGAAGAGATAAGTTTCAAAATAAAGAACTAGGGAAGAAACATGGGGCAGCTACAGTATGTTTAATTGTTTATGATCTACGATTTTTCTTTTTATACTTCCGTTTGTACTCTTGTTAAGAAGAGGAGAGTAATAAAATATCTTAGGAGAAGAGGGACGAGGTCATGCGACATCGAAATTGAGAGAAATGGGCACCTCTGATTATATTTCATTACTTCCAGAATAATATTGTATTTGATCATTCTTTCCCCATATATTTATGTATATGCAGTACATTTTAGATTAGCTCCAAATCTTATCTTATATTTATCTTCATCAAGTATGCATATAATTGACAATTTTAATGAGTAAATAATATTCAATCACAGACTCCTTCGAGTATCAAACATTGTTTAAAAATTCATATTTCAAAATATAAGTATGAGATTACAATTAATCTATGTGGATTATAATCAATAAAATATAAAAAATGTATTATAAAATTATTTTTTATTATTTTTTGTAAATTATAAGGATATAAAACTTACTTTTATTATTGTTTTTAATTTTTTTGAAAAGTGCAAACAACAAAAAACCTTGTCATTACAATAACTTTACTTTCTTCTGATCGGAAAATTAGATTATAATTTTAGCAAGGTAGAGTTTTTTTTTCCACATTTCTAATATTTTTATTTATTTATTTTAATATGCTACGTCATTTTCAATTGCGTGATAGCGCATTTAGCAAACTTGGTGTACTGATTATTTACTTCGAATTTGCTTGATTTTTTTATTATTCAAGAAGTAGGCCTCTTCATATTTTCTTTTTAATATGTGTCGAGCAAAAAATAGGGAGGTGAAACTTGAAAGAACTAGTGAATTCGAGGGATTCTGGGTTGAAGAATTAAATGTAGTGTTTGGTCGTGGATGAAGAATTTTACTGTTAGAATGTTCAAGTCGTTATGTATAGTGATATTTGAAATATACCAAGATGCGTTAACAATTTTTCATAGAATTTTTTGTGGCATTGTTTGTATTTTGTTTATGTGTGTTTGTTTTGCCGAACTCAAAAATTCTGCTCCAATGTCCAAATTGGTCTCAGTATAGTGTCGTCGATTAGTCGCTTGTTTTGTAAATTAAGTGAGATTCTGTACTTCAGAAGGTGTGAGTGTCGGTTATATCATCGGGTCACTTTTTATCTGTTTAATTTCATATGTATGTTCAAATTAAGTTGTATGTGTAACTAGGATCCACAGATTTTGGTTTGCGTCAGGTTGCGGAGCACCTTAAACGTTTGGTAGTCATCAGCGAGCCTAGTATGTCTAAAGCGTCTGCGGGTAGCATCACGTCTCTTCTGAAGATCTTTAATTTCCTGACACATCCAGGGAGCCGGAGGGCAACGAAAAGTAGAGGTTATGATGGGAGAATGGGAATCGTGGATATTAAGGAGGTTGGAAGTGAAAATGTCAAGAGTCAATACAGAAACAGGAATTTATTCCATTCCAATCAAGGGTTTCCAGGTAGGGTAAGATTTTTTCCCGAGTGAGGAAATCAATGTTACGGAAGTTATGGTTTTAGGTGGGATCGGAGGAGTATGGATATTATATGAAATTTCGATTAGGTCATGAGAGGATAAAAAGGAGACCGGTACTGTTGAGGAGGAAATGAGGTTCTGAGAGGAGTCGATAATGTAATGGTCCAACCAGGTATCGGACCTGGGGGTGTGACGAGTGGAAGAAAAAGGAACAATGAAAAGATGAAGAGCGAAAAAAAGATTTTCGAGGTATGATTTATCGCTGGAATCAAAAGGAAATTAGTATTTATGTCACCGGAAATTACTATTTTGGTATAAAGAGGAGGAAAGTTGTAGAGAGATGATTCAAATGACGGATCAAAGGGAACAAGAGGGGGTCTATACACTACGACATAAAGGATAGGAGATGTATCACAGGAAATTTCAACGATTAGGTACTCTACATGTGGGTGATCAGATGAAGGAGAACAGTGTCTTCAGGTTATAAGTCACGATAGTAAATATCATTTATTATCGGCATATTTTGTTGTGTTATTTAAAAAAATGTAAGCTCATAGAGAAATTTGCAAAGTTTATGGGGATGATGCCTTAACCGAACGCACCATTGGTTTGCCAAATTTCATTCAGGAAATATTGACATCAATGATGCTCAACGGTCTGGTCGCCCATATGAAATTGAAACGAGTAATGTTATGGTCTTTGTTGATAAAAATCCCACCCAATCAGTGCGAGAGATTGCTATGGCCCTAAATGTGTCGCACACAAGCGTAGAAAAATATTTTATCTATGTTTCCAGACTTAACGTTTGGGTCTCTCACTTTCTAACCGAATTCAATTTGGAAACACGCATTTATGTTTGTGATTCACTACGAAAACGGCAATAAAAACGACCCATTTTTTGAAAAAGTTGGTTACAGGAGATGAAAAATCGATATGTTACGATAATGTAGCCCGTAGAAAATCTTGGGGACCTAGTAATGAAATGAAAATAAATTTTTATTATCCTGGGATTTATTAGTAGTGAGGCTCCTAGAAGAATTTCAAAACCCGGATTGTATCCAAAGATGATGATGTTTTCCATATGTTGGAATTCCAAGGGTTGTATTTTCTATGAGCTATTGCCGTCATGACTAACAATTTATTCAACGCTACACTAATCGCAATTAACAAAATTGGATGAATCAATTAAAAATAAACGCCCTGAACTGGCAAATCGAAAGGGAGTTGTGTTAAACCAAGACAACGCTAGGCTAACCTCCCTACACCACATTGGTCCACGCAATAAATCACTGCCACTTATTCTGGTCTCTGCAGACCTTCGTCAATGGGAAGAAATTCCAAAAGGAAGAGGACATCAAAAACCACTTGGATCACTTTTTTAATAATAAACTCCAGAAATTCCATGAACAAGATATTATGCAGTTAGTGGAAAGATGGGAAAAAGTCATATTAAATAATGGTCTATATATTGTACATTAAAATATGGCTATAATACATTGAGTTTTATTTCATCCTGAAAAACCAAAAGGACTTACTTGCCAACCCAATACCATGCCGAAAAAAATGAATTTTTGGTTCAGGCATTTTAACACTAGTCATAGTCATGGTCAATTTTCCGTCGATATATGTATAGCGATCAATATTTCTCCTTTTGTTTTAGGATTCAGCTAATAATTAAAAAACGATTTCGAAATGAATTGGATCAAGAGGCGAAACTCTCGAAAACGGACAAGGATATGTATTGACCGTTAGGACTGCCACAGGGGCTATTTAAATCAGCACATCATCTCTTACGACACAGAGGGCGCCCTTGGCATTTCCATATCTTTCTGTTTGTTTGCTTTTCGCCAAACAAATTTTGTAATTAAATTTATTGATTTTACTAGCCAAAAAAATGGCAACCATGCTCTCAGAACTAGTTTTTTTTTTTAATTATGCAGTGGCATTATCTACTTTTGTTTCTAGCTAATAAATGTAAATAATAAGTTATGAACCAATGAGTGGAATCGGTGACGTTTTTATTACTATTTATACTAAGTAATAAAGATATCACATAAATATAATTCCGTAACCATAATTTATTATGATTTTATGTGGAACATGCCATTCTCATTACATTAAGTAAATATACAGCAACTGTTGCACAAAGAGCATTTAAACCATACATTGTATATATATATATATATATATATATATATATATATATATATATATTATATATATATATATATATATATATATATATATATATATATATATATATATATATATATATATATATAAATACTGAGAAATTGGTTCATTAGACTTTATAGCATCGAAATAAAAAAAAAATAAACTGCATGTAATAAAAATTAATCGTACAAAACAATTGAAGCGTTTCCTTTGTATTATGAAACTATTAAAGCACAATGGTTATGTAGTAAATTGTAACTGTTATAAACATTTGAAAAATGTTTGAAATATATGGCAAAATATGTAATTTATCATGCGAAGAGTTTAATTTTTCTTAAGTTGATTGATTCTTCTCAAGTCAATACCAAACCGTAAAAAAAAATTCAAAATACTTGAAAAATAGGTAGGTAGCCTTGCTACAAACACTGTTGGGTCCATTTTTTAAATAAAATTAGTTGAACATTGTTTTTGTCTGATTGTTTGATCCTCGATGAAATTATAAGCAAAGAGGTCAGAAACATGTTAAATATATATATTTTATAAAACTACTTTATAAAAAAAATTTCTTTTTAAAAATGTCAAGGACTTGCAATTCAAAATATCTAGAGTATGAAGATTATTTATAACTAAAAATAGGTCAAAGAAGAGCATTCCCCTAAGATTACTTACTTTAATAAAACATATTATGTTTTCATTAAATATAAGAGACTGGTTTTATTAAAATTTAAAATTCAATCTGCTGAACTTCAAGAAATACTATTGTGAGGAGTTAGTCGAGGGTGCGGTCAAATAAATAAAAAAATAAAATATATTAATTATTTTATTATATCAACGGTCAACCATCTCTACATCATTAAAAATACTATTGATTCAATTTGACTAGAGTAAGCTACCTAAAATGATGGAAGAACCCAATAGACCAAATTTAAATATTAAAGAATGAAAATGAGCAGCAAGAAAACGAAAAAAAAATGTTTAGTTGTGCAGCGAACAATAACAGCAAACAGAACAAGCGAACAAACAGCGAACAGAACTGACCTCTTATGTTAAAAAAATTCACGATTAATGATCTTTCTATAGAAAAGTAATAAATGTATCACAAAAAGCTTTTAAAATGTGTATTTTTATTAGGTACATTGCTTTTTAAAATTTATTCTCAAGAAATTAGTTGTTTGTGTCGGTGGAACTTATGCTGGAAGTTTGTGTCGGTGTTCTAGAAAGACGGATAGCCACGATCTAATAATTTGTTTTATAAGCAATTATCTTTTTTTAAATGTTAAATCCGGTTTTAATTAAATATAGGTAGGATGAAAAAAAATCAGCATGAAAACGAAGTTTTGAGCGTTTCTGAGAAATTTTCAAAATCAAAAAAGAAGAAATGGAACAGTCACTCACTTATATCAGGATATTGCAGGATATTGCAATTTTGTTATTTAGATTAACAGTTGTCCTCAAGGCACAACAAAGAAAAATACTGTACAATGGTCATATTCATTGAGTGACAAGGATTCCTATAATTTAAAAATATGATAATGAATATTTAATAATAATTAATATTCATATTAAAAGTTTTCTAGATAGATATTGTTATAAGTTTTACACCGTTACTATGATTTGTGTTATGTAATATACCTTAATCATAATAATTAAAATTAAATTAAACAATGTTTACATAATTGATGTAATACTAGGCGATTATAATTCTCTTACATACAAACCAAATTATTAATCACCAACAAACATCGAAGCCATTATTAAAACTGAACTTTCACAATCAAACGAGTGGTGAATAAAATTATGGATTAATTTCTCTAAACATTTACTACAGATTAATTGACCTTTAACTGTTATAGATATTTCAAGTAAATTAAAATAAGGAACATGTATTCATAAAAACTACCAATTACGGATATTTTTATGAAATAGCAATAACCTGATTAAATTATGTTTAGCTATGCTGAAGTATGTATAAATGATTAGCCTATAGAATCTGTTTACGTTAAAGATTGTCACCCAACGGCTCTTCCCGACCCTGATCTCATTTATCTTTCTGGATCAGGTATATATTCGGGAGTAGGCTGAGTGGAAGGCATTCTCTCGTCAGCAGCGGAACAAGAATACACCCACTACCATGTACAAACTGGTAAGATGAAAAAGAATCAATTGGATAAAGTGAAGGTTTCCTTTACTAGATTAAATACATTTTATATTAAAATCCTGGTATTTAGTAATTGTTAAATTGTGTTATTTATTTCGATTCTAGACCGCTATCTTTGCCCTCATCGCCTGCGCCAGGGCTGGCTACATCGGAGGCTACGCTGCCGCTCCAGCACTCACCTACGGCTCTAGCTACGGCTATGCTGGTGGCTACAGTTATGCTTCTCCAGCAGTTGCCACCGTTGCTCATGCTCCAGCTATCTCTTACGCCGCACCGGCACTCGCTACTGTAGCACACGCTCCAGTCGCTGTAGCTCATGCTCCAGTCGCCACCTCCTACGCAAACACTTACAGGACTGTGAACAAGCCAATCGCCGTTGCCGCCCCAGCTGTATCTTACGCTGCTCCAGCCGTCTCCTACGCCGCACCCGCAGTTTCCTATGCCGCCCCAGCCGTTGCAACCGTCGCCCACGCTCCAGTTGCCACTTCTTACGCTAGCACTTACAGGACTGTCAACAAGGCTGTAGCTGTCGCTGCTCCCGCTGTCTCCTATGCAGCTCCCGCAGTCTCCTATGCTGCTCCAGCTATCGCCACCGTAGCTCATGCTCCAGCAGTATCCTACGCTGCTCCAGTCGCCGCTGTAGCCCATGCCCCAATTGCCACTTCTTATGCTAACACCTACAGGACCGTCAACAAGCCAATTGCTGTAGCCACCCCAGCTATCTCCTACGCCGCCCCAGCTGTTGCCACCGTAGCTCACGCCCCAGCCATTGCCACTGTCGCCCATGCTCCAGTCAGCTATGGTCTCGGCCTCAGGTCTGCATACGGTCTTGGCAGCTACGGATACGGTCTTGGATACAGGTCTGCCTACGGTCTCGGCTATGGATATGGTGGATACGGACTTGGCTCCACCCTCCTCCACCATTAAACTTCTTTATAACGAAGTACCTGAATCTCAACCATTCCTACCATAATTTATTTATTCCTCATGTAAATATTTTAAAGTAAATTTTTTTTTGTTGATCTAACATATTTTTTTATTAATCTTCTTACTTTTATGACCTATTATCCTTATGTATGTGTATGTAATTGATTAATTCAATTAGATTATATGAATACAAGCTTTAATTAACATAAGTTTTAAAGACCCCTAGAGAATAGTATAAAATATCTACTGATAATATGATTAGAACATTTTTACAATTTTTATTTTATAAGTAATCGCAGTAAAATGATGATTTAATACTGAATATTTAATTATTATAATACCTTATTTTTTAAATATCAGCTGAACTGGGGCCGATAAGTATTTTAGCTATTTTAAAAATTGTATTTGCATTTGTTGAGATCCACTATGTTTAAAAGTGATGCATCTTTTTTTCCCCATTCCTTTCTCGCCTTTTATTCTATGCGGGGTTTTTCGTTCCAGATGAGAGTGCAAGATTAATGCCAGAATTAGAAGGTTTTTTTTGTTTTTTTTTTTTTTCTATGCCTAAGTAACGCCTTCTTGATCAGCTGTCCATTTCACTAATGGAACATGTTATGTTCTGTAATGCAGGGCATGTATCAAGGATGTTCTCCTGTCCTAATATCCAAGGAGCACAGAGGACATGTCGGGCAATCTTTTATACCGATGCGATGGAGGTTCTTCTGCAGAAAATCATAATCTGTAAGCATTCTAAAGCAATCTAACCACGGCTTGCCCTCTAGGGAGGTCTCTCGAGATCCAGCCACTTTCTTTCAGAAATCAACTCCATCGCTTCCATTCAATTTTATGCGCATATTTCTCTATCAGTGAACTTTGGAGGGCCTTATTTATTATTCTTTTATTATGTTTAATTATTCTATTAGTAGGTGTGAAAATAATGTTTGTACAAGTGGACCATCTATCGAACCGGGATGTACAGTGGGATTCTTATTTTTCTAGACATGAGTTTTTCATCCAGATATTCCCTTAAATAGGCTTGATACCCTATGCACTTTATTGCACTGAGTCGGATGGTAAAGTAAGTTTAATGTTTGGTATAACGCAGATATTTTATTTTAATTTTTTATTATTTATTGAAAATTTTCATTGTTTTATTTTATTTTGTTTTTCCTAGTTCGTACCCCAACCTAAACCAATCTTAAATCAACCAAGTTTAAATAAAAACAGAATATTGATAAACTTGAAAAGTAAATTCCCTGCAATTTTAGCATTTAAAAAGAAGTAAACATGGAGAAAAATATACTTTTTTATCTATTGAATATGGTTATTTTAAACTTCTATAGGTATATTTAGTCCATTTTTTTTGTCAAAAAAAAAAAAAAAAAACCTTTATCACTAACAAACCAACCCATGAAGGGTCTTTGGTTCAGTAATTTGTAAGGAAGTACTGTTTCAAGGCCACCGATTGTGGGTGCAGAGAGGTGATCGGTCCAGGTTATCTCTCAACCGTCAGGTTTTCTCCATTAATTAATTATTTTACTATGAGTTCTCTCTTAATAAAGTCTGGATGTACCCTAGGAGGGTTCCCCGACCTCAGGATCCCGACCCCCACCTGACTCAGGGTCGGTCAACGGCTGGTGAAACAAAATAAATAATTATCTGCCATCAGCAGGATTCAAATCCGGGACCTTCAGTTTAAGACGTCAGTGCCTTACCCACTGACCTAACACGATGCAACAATTTTTATCATATATGATTTATAAATGAAAAACTGTAAGTAGAGTTGTTAATATGAAACAGACCATAAAGTATTAACATTGTAGTTTGATTTATTTTAAATTCAAGTCTAATTTGTGTGATAACTTTTCACGTTTCATTATTTTTTATAAATTATTTGTTGTTAATCGGTAGTATTTAATTATACTATATATCATTTTATCGGCTTATCAAAAAAAATGGTTTATGCCGGTTTATTAAAAAATAATTTTTTTACAATACGATATTAAAAGTAAAAAAAAAAAAGTTGTTTCTTCCTAATTATGAATATTTCAAATAATTTTAGATTTTTATACTAACACAATCTATAAATGCAAACACTTGAATAATCAACTTCAAATGTTAATAACTTCTACAGTTATTTATTTGAAAGTTTTTGAAGAAGAATACAACTATAATTCAGTAGTAATTTTTTTTTTTAAACATCAGATTTCGTGAAATATAATTGAAGTACCAAACTTTTCAATCATTTATTTGAAATTTTATCAATTAGTTTGGAATTTCTTAAGAACATATTATTACATAATTCGAAGTCCCAAGGAATATTTTCTTGCGCATTTTAAAGATTTGGTCAATGTCGCGAGATTTGCTTCACTCGTCCTACTCACATGGATACCAAATAGGGAACCGTGTGCTCAATTGCAGAAACTTATTTGCTGTTTGTTATTCTGTTAATCTTCATTAGTTTCTTACCTAGTTAGTTACCTTAATATAAATTCCCAGGTCAAGAGAGGTTGCAATAAGAACAACTTTCTCTTTTGTATGTTAGTGATCTTTAAGTTTGAATAATTTAATTATGATAATAGATAGCTAGCTGGAACTAGCCAATTCTGAGAAAACAATTATTATATTCTCTTTTTTTTTTTCATTTAGCATTGCTTTATCCGGAGAACCGCCTAAGCAGAGTATTATTATATACATTTTAAAGCAAATTTAATTGTGATTAATGTGGTATCAAATAAAGTTTAATGGCCCACTGATAGGTAATGATAGGAATTATTTTCTGTTACAGGTTGATTTTTATCCATTGATACTTAATTCTGATTTCTGATAGAGAGACAAACGCTGACAATTTCACTTGCTTACAGTATCCAAGTCCGACTTTTAGTTTCTGAAAACTTTTAATCCAAATACAAAAAAACTTCAATTAGTCGACTCGAGCCGACTTTACCCAAACGAGCATTACATATCGGAATGTGACTTATCCTTCTCATTCACTACCCACAATAAAAAATGAAAAGTATATAATATCAAAAGTTAAGATAATGAGTAGCTTCTTAATCAAGGGAAACTGACGAACGAAAATGATATGGGCCTGATTAAGGACATCAATCCATTGGGTTGGCAAATAAGTCCTTTCGGTTTTTCTGTTTATTTTTCTGTTTCTATGAAACACTTCTTATCTGATAAATTAATCTCTGAGCTGGATTGTTTATCCTGTTTGTAACACGCCAAAAACTATATCTGTTAAAGCTTGTTGAAACTATCTTAGTATTTTGTTTGGTATTGTACTGTGAATATGGAAGAAGGTATCATTCATTATCGGTATATTTTCTTGGATTATTTTAAAAAAGGTAAGCATGCTGCAGAAACTCATAGAAAAATTTTCAGTGTTTATGGCGATGATGCCTTGGCCGAATATCAAATATCATTTAGGAAATTTTGATATCAGTAATGCTCAACGGTCTGGTCGCTTACACACCAAATGGAAACGAGCAATGTTAAGGCTATTGTTGATCAAAATCCTAACCAATCAGTACGAGAGATTGGTATGGCACTAAATGTGTCGCACGCAAGCGTATAAAACCATTTGCACAAGCTCGGCTATGTTTTCAGGCTTGATGTTTGGGTCCCTCACATGATTTTATTTTCGGAAATCACAAAAAATGTTATAACTTCAATACGACTTTAGCTATCTACAACAAATTTAGCAGGAATTCAGGGCCACATAAACTACACAAAATTGCATCAACAGGACCTTCATAAACAAACTACAAATGTAGATAAAAAATAAAAACCTATAAAGAGTTTTTGTTTATTTATTCTATATGTAGGAATTAAAGAAAAAAAAACATTTACAAGGCTTTAAACAGCAATAAGTTAGCTTTTCAACGGATATAGTATCATCGAATTTGGAAAACATCCTAAAGAGTTGTGAATGAAGGAAGCGTGTCGTTTTCCACCAAGACAACGCTAGACTCCACACCTCATTGGTCACTCGTAATAAATTATTGACCCTTAGACGGGACCTTTTGCCCCACAATCCCTATTCATCAGACCTTGCTCCTAGTGACTACCAGTTATTCCGGTCTCTGCAGAACTCCATGAATGAAATGAAATTCCAAAAGGAAGAGGACATCAAAAACCACTTGGATCAAATTTTAACAATAAACTGCAGATATTCTATGAGTATTATGCAGTTAGCGGAAAGATGGAAAACAGTCATATTAAATAATGGCCAATATAATGTAAATTAAAATAAATTTTACGTCTATAATACATTGAGTTTTATTTTACCCTGAAAAACTGAAAGGACTTATTTGCCAACCCATACAAGAGGTTTAAAATCCATATATGCTTAATGAAGAAATAGCTATCGAAGGGCTTAAAACATTGAAATATTGGATGAAAGAATGTAGGCAGAAACATGGAACAAGTGCCTAATCTGTCTTATCTTAAAGAAGGACTCCATGTATAAGTGGAGCAATTACAGGGGCATTATTATCCTCCCTGTTTCCTAAGCGATCCTATTAAACCGAATTTATCCGGATTATTTTGATGTTTTCTGTAAAAATTGATTAGATACTAACTATTTCTAATAAAAGAATATACGGGTCATAAAATTTATTCTTATATTTGTTAATTAATCCAGTGAATTTATTTATTTATATTAAAAATCTAACATAGAGGATCCATTAGCCAACGTATTAGATATATTTTGTTGCCAAACAATGATATATACAGTTCAGATTATTATTTTAATAAACTTATATCACATATTATATTTCTTTTAACATCTTTTCACCGTAAACTAAAGTAGAAATCTGACGCACTTGTGGGTTCAGCATTTGCTCAAAGGGGATCTTAATATTACATAAAAATATTTTTATGTTTAAAGTCACTTTAATAATTGAAAAAAGAAAATATTTTTTTAACAACTCTTGATGTTTGAGTTTGTTTTTAACAAACTCAATCGATTTCCAGGTAGGTATTTAATTAATTAGTGAAATGTTTTCTCATCATTTGTTTCTAATTTATTGTTTTAAATCTGCATGAATGACAGAATTAATTAAGATTCTTCAAATGCCTAACATTAAGAGTTGTACAAAAGTAATTAAAGTTTATTCATGCTTAAAAATAATCAAAACAGTCGATCATTGAGATTATTATCTTTTCTTTTTTTACATATACATTCATATCATTTCGATATTATACAATCACTGAACTTGTGCTTGATATGTCTCGATATTAAAATTTTTGAAAGTTGATAATCACAAAGTTTTATTTATTATTATGTGAGTCTCAAATTATATTTTCTAATGAATTGTCACACAATTCGTTAAAGTCAATTTGCAAAAAAATTAACTATTATTATTAAAATTCACAGTAAGTCAGACAAGAAACAAGGAGAATTAGAAGTTAATTGTGTTTTTAAATGAAATAATTAATATTCTGAATCGCTATTGAATTATTCAATTATTGTGAATCTCTAATCCATTTTATTGGATATGCGAAGACAATATTGAAGAAAGTTCAGAATACTGTGAATTATTCTCAAATTATTTTTCTTTATGAGTGTAAAATATCTTTATTACAGTAGATTTTATTATTTAATCGTATAGATAAAGTTATTGATATTTTTAAATGGAAAATGTTTGCTATTAACAATTTTAGTACGGATGAATTGGTACATTTGAAAATGTAATAGCATTTATGTCAATAAATGTTTCAAACTCTTAAATAAGTTTAGTGTGTTTTACTTCTTACAATAACATACTTTTCGTGGTGTTATGTTAAAAATACTGGTAATATTTCTTAAACAGCCAATAAAAAATATTTAAAATATCATATTGAATTAGAGTATAAATTGGAAACAGTAGTACTATCATTTCCAAAATTGTCACCCAACGGCTCTTCCCGACCCTGAACTCATTTCCCATCTAGATCAGGTATATATTCGGGAGGAGGTTGAGTGGACACCATTCTCTCTCCAGCAGCTGGACCAGGATACATCAAAATGTACAAATTCGTAAGTTTTATTCCACTCTGAAGTTATTGCCATATAAATACATTTATTTAATCAAATGATCACTAATGAAATCTATATTTCTTTAAATTGAAAAATTACTGGAATTGTTATTCTAATTCCAGACCGTTCTCTTCGCCCTCATAGCCTGCGCTAGGGCTGGCTACATCGGAGGCTACGCTGCCGCTCCAGCACTCACCTACGGCTCTAGCTACGGCTATGCTGGTGGCTACAGTTATGCTTCTCCAGCAGTTGCCACCGTTGCTCATGCTCCAGCTATCTCTTACGCCGCACCAGCACTCGCTACTGTAGCACATGCTCCAGTCGCTGTAGCTCATGCTCCAGTCGCCACATCCTACGCAAACACTTACAGGACTGTGAACAAGCCAATCGCTGTTGCCGCCCCAGCTGTATCTTACGCTGCCCCAGCACTCTCCTACGCTGCACCTGCCGTTTCCTATGCCGCCCCAGCTGTAGCAACCGTCGCCCATGCTCCAGTTGCCACTTCTTACGCTAGCACTTACAGGACCGTCAACAAGGCTGTAGCTGTCGCTGCTCCAGCTGTCTCCTACGCTGCTCCCGCAGTCTCTTATGCTGCTCCAGCTATCGCCACCATAGCCCATGCTCCAGCAGTGTCCTACGCCGCCCCAGCTGTCGCCACTGTTGCCCACGCCCCAGCCATTGCCACTGTCGCCCATGCTCCAGTCAGCTATGGTCTCGGCCTCAGGTCTGCCTACGGTCTTGGCAGCTACGGATACGGTCTTGGATACAGGTCCGCCTATGGACTCGGTTATGGATATGGTGGATATGGACTTGGCTCCACCCTCCTCCACCACTAAAATTCTTTATAACGAAGTACCTGAATCTTAACTATTCCTGCTCCATGATATTTATTCCTCTTGTAAATACTGTTAAATAAAACATTTTTAGTCCAAATGTTTTTTCTGTTACTATTTTTTTCCCTCTTCTCTATTTTTTCACCTGCACCTGTCCACCATTGGATCTGATGTCGAGTACAATGCTAGTAATGGCTTGATCGGCGTGAGAGAGAGGAGTGTCCAGCGGTATCAATTCCTGTATTGATTTTAAGGTATTTACAATCGAGGAAATCCCTCATCCAGCTCCTTTTAAACCCTTAAGTGTGTTTCCGGGCATGTTAAATGTAGCTATATTTTGTATAAATGCATTAGTATGCCCATGTAAGATTTCTTGAAATCTTTTGTGGGTGGTTGTCGTATTTAACTGTTGACATGATGCTTTAGTTATTGTCCTGAAGGTTTTTTACTAAATAGTTTTTAGTTTTCGTATGTGGGTCGTTTTGGCTACGAACTTTGTGAAGCGTAGTTCCATATAAGCTTAAGTAGGTAAAAGTAAGTTTTTTTTTTTATTTTTTTTTTTTTTTAGCTTTAATGTTTTGTTCACACCCATCATAATGGTAATGACAACCAGTGAATGTGTGAATGTGAGATCGATTGCTAAATATAATGTCATGAAAGGCATGAGGAGGATCAGTGCCCAGCGGCACCTCACTCGGCGTGATATCTACATTAGGCGAGGAGGTCCCTCATCCAGCTCCCGTTCAGTCTTCTACAGACGTTAACTGGCATATTTGTAGTGGCCATGTCATTTATAAGTGTATTAGGATGTCCTTGTAAGTTGTCATGGAATCGTTTGTAATGAGTACGTTTGTGTTCGTTAACAGTCGGCATATGGAGGTCAGTAAGGTTATGCTGCTAACGTACCAAGGTGCTTTTGTAATTGTTCTGAATGTTTTTGCTTGAAAGATTTGAAGTTTGTTTAAGTGAGTCTTTTTAGCAGTTCCAAATATCTGTGATGCGTAAGTCCAAATAGGTTTTAGTAAGTAATTGTATGTGTTCAATTTCTGTCTAAGTTTTAGTTTTGAATTTTTCGAAAGAAGTGAACTGAGAATTCTGAACATTTGATTTAGCGTTTTTCGTTTCTTGATTATATGTGAGCTCCACGTCATTTTTCTGTCAAATGTCAGACCAAGGTAGTGAACGGTGTCTGTCTGTAGAATCTGTGTATTGTCAAGGAAAACTGGAGGGCATGTTTCATGTCTAAGTGTAAATGTGATGTGCTGTGATTTGTCTTGATTTAGTCGGATTTTCCAAATTTTGAACCAGTCATGTAATCTTGTTAAATACTGTTGTAGGGTCTGTGAGGCGTATGTTGGATTTTTGTGTCTTGATAAAATTGCTGTGTCGTCTGCATATGTCGCTGTTAAAATGTTGGGACTACAAGGTATGTCATGTGTGTGTGTTATTTTAAAAATAAATAACACAAATAAAGTGTTATTTTATTTTAGGTTTAATTTTGAGCGTCTTGAGTGAAGCGAACACAATAGGCGTTGTCTGATGCTTAACGTTTTTCTTTTCTTGATAATTTGTGCCAAGTTAGTCTTCTGTCTAATGGCAATCCAAGATATTGTATTTTATCTGTTTGAGGAATTTTGGCATTGTCGAAGTAAAAAGGAGAGCATGTTTCATCTCGAAGAGTGGAAGCGATGTGTTATGATTTGTCTTGGTTGAGTCGAATTTCCCAAAGTTTGCACCAATAGTTGGGTTTAGTTTGTGTTAGTTGTTCAACCAATAGTGGATGACGTTTTAAAGTCTTTGAGGCGTGTGTAGGGTTTTTATATCTTGTTAAAATTGCTGCATTGTATGTGATATGTCGCTGAAACTGTTCCGTCACTGTTATGAATGTCGTGCGTGTATGATGTATAACAGCGCAGTGATGAAAATAGTTCTGATCCTTGGCAGACAGAGAAAAATCTGTCAGAAAGAAAGAATTGAAGGAAAAGATAGTAGGAAGGAAGGAGTATCGTTTTCAGTTTGAAGAGATGCAATTTATGCCAGACTATCGAATGCTTGAGCGACATCCATATATATTCCTGTTGTGTACAATTTTTGCTCTAGTGTCGTTGCAATATTATTAGTCACCCTGTGTTATTGATGAATGATAATGGAGCAATTTAAAACAAATTCAGTTAAAAATACTTAGATAAATGTTCATTATGGTTTATCTTTCTCTATTAATGATTGGTTTGGAATGATAAGTGATCATATGTTATGAATATAAATTGTTAATTTCTTTAAAACTGAAAAGGTTAAAATGATTTAATTAAATGAAATATATTTTAATTTAAAAAACCCTGAATCCTGATAAATAACTCGATCTGTCTTAAGGCATGGAAAATCATTCATATCTATATTAAAATGTAAGTAGGTTGCCAGTTATTATGAATTTTAAAACTTGTTGACGCAGTCAATTTCCTTCCAGGACAAATTACTTTCAGCTTCATCCATGCATGTCTGTCGAAATTCAGGTTCTCCCTGAAACCGTATGTTGTCTAAGCTCACAGAAGGTAAATTAATGTATAGCTGGAAGAGATTAGAGTTCGTTTGGGCGTGGAAGGCACAACAACTTTGGTTTTATTTTGTTGGAATGGGGTTTGTTTTACCTCAAAATTTGTTGTTAGACTTTTAAAATCGACAAAATTAAAAATAATCTTAAACGAACTCAATGTGTTACGATATATCAAAGGTTAATACTTAAGTTAAATACCAAAGATGAAAATAATGAAAAGTTCAAGTTTCGGTTACGCATTGCCAAAGACTAAAACCGACTGCCTCTTTGTTTTATTTTTTTTCTGGCTTCTCTACTGAAAACCTCATGTTCAGTAAATTTTGACTTTACAAAAAAAAAATTCCAAACAACTAAAAGCTTGTTTAGTGCTAAAATCCGAACTTCAAATATTTCAAAAGTTCAAACGACCATAATTCTAGAACTACTCGTTAGAATTGGGTAAAACTTCTCTTCTTTTCTTATTTGTGTATTTGCTTAATGTATATAAATCTTTATCAAGATTTGTGGAGGATGGTTGTCAAATTGTACAATGGCTGGATGATTTAGTATGGCCCGCATGCTAACATTTCTAAAAAATCAGAATATTTTACATTTCTTCAATTTTTTCAAAAAGAATCAAATATCCGTCGAGTCTTAAAACTTGTATCTATCACTAACCATCCATCAAATACAACATATAAAACACCCGTCCGTTCAAAAATTGATAAATATATTTTAGCTAATTTGTTTAATACATTTTATTAAATCACTGGTAAATGTCTTAGGCTCAAATTGCTTCAAAACACTACCGGTATCTCAATGAATAATTTAAGATCTAAACATTTTGGACCATCCCATATTGATACCTCGACTAAGTACCACACACCGCATTTAAATCTCCACGGAAGTACACAGGGCGTGGCTGGTGATGAAAACAAATCTTGTTTTTTAATGTCATTTCATCTGTGAAATGAGCTTTCTGGGAGAAAAAAAAACCATGCAATAAATGTAGAAACCTCATATGTGAATAATTTGCTAAATTTCTTATTTTTAAATAGTTTTTCAAATACTATTGCAGTTTGTGAAATTGCATTTTTGTCCCCAAATATTTGTTCTATGTTAAAGCTGACGAACAATAAAAAAAATTCAAACATTTAATTTTTTTTAAATATTACAATTTTTTTAATTTCTATATACAAGAAGGTGTGTTAAGCTCGAAAACTTCAATTCATCATCAATAATCTATCAAATACAACATATAAAAAAATCAGATCTTCTTCAGCTGATACAAGTTAACGTGTCCTTGTATAACGAAAATTGAATTTCTATAACCCTTTTAAATTTCATGTCTTATAGTCATTGTAGGAGATTGAATGTATAATAAAAATTCAATCATCGATACATAGATAAATGTAATCGTTATAGTTTTATCTTTGCTAATTATAAAATTCAAATTTGTCGAAGACAAGTTAATACATACAAATTAACTGATTTTTCAACTTATTTAACTCATTAACGAAAATTAGAGCAATAAGATAATAAGGGAAACATTATTTGGACTAAAAAAGTTTTATTTAACAGTATTTACAAGAGGAATAAATATTATGGAGCAGGAATAGTTGAGATTCAGGTACTTCTTCATAAAGAAATTTAGTGGTGGAGGAGGGTGGATCCAAGTCCATATCCACCATATCCATAGCCGAGACCGTAGGCAGACCTGTATCCAAGACCGTATCCGTAGCTGCCAAGACCGTAGGCAGACCTGAGGCCGAGACCATAGCTGACTGGAGCATGGGCGACAGTGGCAATGGCTGGGGCGTGGGCTACAGTGGCGACAGCTGGGGCGGCGTAGGACACTGCTGGAGCATGGGCTACAGTGGTGATAGCTGGAGCAGCATAAGAGACTGCGGGAGCTGCATAGGAGACAGCTGGGGCGGCATAGGAGACAGCGGGAGCAGCGACAGCTACAGCCTTGTTGACAGTCCTGTAAGTGCTAGCGTAAGAAGTGGCAACTGGAGCGTGGGCGACGGTTGCAACTGCTGGGGCGGCATAGGAAACGGCGGGTGCAGCGTAGGAGACTGCGGGTGCAGCGTAGGAGACGGCTGGGGCAGCGTAGGATACAGCTGGGGCGGCAACGGCGATTGGCTTGTTCACAGTCCTGTAAGTGTTTGCGTAGGAGGTGGCGACTGGAGCATGAGCTACAGCGACTGGAGCGTGTGCTACAGTAGCGAGTGCTGGTGCGGCGTAAGAGATAGCTGGAGCATGAGCAACGGTGGCAACTGCTGGAGAAGCATAACTGTAGCCACCAGCATAGCCGTAGCTAGAGCCGTAGGTGAGTGCTGGAGCGGCAGCGTAGCCTCCGATGTAGCCAGCCCTGGCGCAGGAGATGAGGGCGAAGAGAACGGTCTGGAATTAGAATATTGTGTTACAGCAATTTTTTCAATTTAATGAAATATATATTTCGTTATATATATATATATATATATATATATATATATATATATGTGATAA